AACGCTGTCCCATGAAAGAAGAGCCAATTGTATTACCCCATTTTATTCTTTCATCAGATGAGATGAAATTACCTTATCTCTGTCACAAACTTCTGCTGTCAGTTGCTGAAGTTCACCTCTCATGTGATTAATTGTTGAAATGTTTATTGGTCTACGCTTAGCCTGACTTTTATACTACTTGAAAAGATCTGGCTTGTTGGTATTGATAAAAAGATCACCAGCGGAAAGTATACATTTATAGTACAACTGCTCTCAAGTAATAATATCATCAGAGTATTAACTCCTCATACTCTGATGATATTATTATATTAAGAACGATGGTGAAAAATGGATAGCCTCTCGCTAAGAAAGGGTTGAAATGTCGCTAAGAAAAGTGCTTCGATTTCCTTGGATACGAACGCACGGACGATTTTGAAACTTTCCTGGATTTAAACGATTTTGACTACAACCATAAGTGATGCCATATATTTTGTGGTAGCTATATTGATACAGGATCATTAACCCTCTTGTAGTAACGGCAATCATTAAAACCATAATAAGTTTTTTACCACCAAGTAGGATACTCCTGACAAAGTGCAGCCAGATACTTCTTCACCTGATCTCTTCCTCTTTCTCAGTTTCTCACGGCGGGTACATATGGACGACATTACCTAACATGTGTCTCTTAATTCGCTGAACTATGTCAATGTCGTCGTATTTCAGGCCATCGACTGCGGCATTCGACGTTGCCAATGCGCAAAGAACCACAAATCTCCCGCCAAACCTTTCTTCCGACAGCTCGTAACGTCGACTCGTCAGATGTTGTCATCGTTCATGCCATACCATACCATATAGCAGAACGAGGATGATGAGTGACTTAGAGAGTTTGGTTTTTGTTCGTCGGGAGTGGACTTTACTTCTCAATTGCCTACTCGGTAGCACCTGTTGGCAAAAGGTCGGCTGACATTGTTGTTGGTGTAAATGCTGGTCTACGACTCGCGAACATACAGTTTAAAACCAATCTTCAATTATTTGGAACTTCGAAGTGAGGTTTTCGAACTTTGACGGTAGTAAATGCTTCGATAATAGTCTGTAAATTCAAATTCATGGATAATTCTGGCTCTAGACCTGCCCTATGACTAAACGAACGTTCACCACTTCAAGCAAAAACGGATAAAGTGCAAAATATTCTTAAAGCGATGCAAATATTTTGAAAAGTTCTTCTCATTTTCGAGCCTTCGTGGGATTTCAAAATTAACATCATAAATATGCCAGAGCTCTTCAAGTCATTGGACAACTTATCGGATATATCAACGGAATACTGTTTTGCAAAATGATTGACATCTGTGTTGAGTCCATCTTCTTTCCTATCATGGAACTGCCATAAAAATCAGAATGTCTTTTTTTGAATTGAATTTCTTCTTTACTACAATATTCATCCTCTTCATCACGTTGCTCGTTTCCGAGTTTTGTTTTCTTGATGATGCTAAAATCGTTTCGACAGGCTCTAAATTTAGCGTCGATGGTGTACTGCCGGATTTTAAACCATATAGAGGCCATTAATTCTTTTGAAAATATGAGCCGCTCCGATAAATCTCGCACCGACTCACCAGCTTCTCGTCGAGCTTGCTTTAAGTTGGGAGTTAATTCGGATGTAAGTGTTGAAGAAGGGGTATTCTGCTGGTGAGTTCTAATATGATCGTTAGCCGGTGAATTTCGGAGCAGATGTTGTGGGTCTTATTACTGAACCGACTGTCATTTCAGCGATTTAACCCTCTTTGGACAAGACAGCTATAACCTAAATAATCAATAGCTCTCTTCGATTGGCCACGCGTTGTAGAGAAACGAATTGAACAATCTATATCGAGCCGGCAGCACTTGTGGTGCATGTCTGTGCTCAATGTCTTCTGGCGCATGCGCAATTGCGCTACCATTCAAGAACTTTTTTCTTGGATCGCCCAGTTTGTATGTCGGCTAGATGTTATAGTGGCCCGAACTGAACAATTTCTTCAGAAATATGCCATTGTCTTGAATGAATGGAAGACAGCCAACATTTATTCGGCGATTACTAAACACCATATTACAGTTGTCATTATACATACATATGTGTGTCATATTTATTGTATTATTCTTATAGTAAAATATACAAAGCGCCCACATATACATCAATATATACGCGTACAATGAATTGGGCAATATTCGCAAAATTATTAATCATTGTTCCAAAAAGCGTTTATATTCAGCTAAAATTTGCTCCTCCTGTAGTAGTGGCAAATCGAGGTAGTCCTGCTCATTCGAGGTAATATCCTCATTGAAACGTTCATATGCCTTGAGAGATTCCATTTCGTTCTTCACCTTTCCCAAAGCCGTATTCACAAGCGAACCAATGCCGCTTGACGTGGAAGGCGTATCGTCACCGCCGGTGGCAATTTTAGCTGCTTCAGATATGCGCTCCATCTGTTTCACAAGCTCCACTTCGTTTCCAAATATTTTAACAAGAAAATCGAGTGCCTTCTCCATATCGTTTGAGGTTGTCTCAAGAGCAACGCGTGTCATGTCTTCGTTAAAACCAAGTTGTTTTAGCTAAAATGGCAATTATGTTCAAAACCACCAATACAGTATAAATATAAAATAACTTATGTACCTGTTCTAACAAGTCTGTATCCGCAGTTTCTTTCTTTGGCAAGTTTTTCAAGAGTTCGTCGCTACGGGTTTGCAACAAATCCAGCTGTAAAATGGCATAGTCTTCAATACTCTATACATTAATGTCATAATTTGGTCATTTACCGCTCGCTGCAAGTCATTATTACACTCTTTCAGTGCCGCAACAACAAGATCATGTGAAAATCCCATTTCCATTAGTGTGCAGACACTGCGCGGGTTCACCCAGTCTTTGTCGCTGTTTTTCCGTGTTAACTTCGAATTTACTTTACGCTCTTTATGCGAACGTTCACGCGCGTCGCGTTTCTTCTCCCTGCGATCATGTATGAAGTTGATAGCCTGTTCCAAATTGCCACTACACGCACGCAAACCCAAACGCGCCTCGAATGGTTCATAACCCATTTCAACCAGTGCTTCAACAGCGCTGTCGTCCACTTTTAATTCGCGTAGCTCACGGCCAGCAATCTCTAAACGTTCGTAGGCCTCATCACGCCGATTTTGGTGGAAGAGTACCACACCCTGCAGCAAGTGTAGGCGCATCAAAAGTGCCCGCTCCGGGCATGCATTGCCTTTGAGTGTAATGAGTCGATTCATATTCTCACCGTAGCTGCGACGAAAGCTTTGCTCGCAAATGTCTAAGCGTCGTTGAGCATCGGGCAATTGCGTAACGTTCTAAAAATGTGGTGGAAGCTTTGTGTTTATTCAATTGCTCACTTTTCGTAATTGCAACATACCTTGAGGCATAAATAACACCAAACAATATCTAAATTTACCAGGGCATAATTGTCTACTGACTCTAGAAATCCAGAATTGCAGGTAGTAAATTTCTCATCAGCTTCGAGCAGCAGAATCAAAGCTTCGTCGTAATGTTGTCTTTTGATGGCGGCGCGCGCCTTTTCACAGAAACCCATCGCCATCAAGAGTGCACGATTCTCATTTGGAGGCAGGAACACCGGATTGCCATCTTGATCTTCCATCTGTAAACAACGTTTTATAAATATTTAGCTTATGGTTAGTCTTATTTTAAACGAACCTCAAACAACTGTCGCTCTGAGTCTACTATTGCTTCGACATCCATTTTAATTTTTCGTATGCGGTCATACATAGCCTCTTTGGAATTTGTTTCATCACGATCGATCTCACTGATAATAACCATAAGCTGCTGATTATTTTTCAGTCCTATAAATTTAGATATTGAAATTTTAAGAATTGTGACATTTGAACCGATATGAAAGCTTACCCTGCCCATTGAGTGTTCTGTCTGGATCAATAATTTTTCCGGCAGATATGCATTTCACACGATTTGGGTCATTCAACTGTAGTTTTTCGGCAATACGACTTTGCAATTCCTTCCCCAATGCATTCAAATCGCATTTAACTTCCAGCATATTTTGCGTACCTTCTTGGTTGTTGATGCGCCTAACGCTGAACGTAGCGAGTCCTACACGTAGCCAAATATTGAACTAGTTCTTAATAGAATAATCCTCCTTCACTTACCAGTCTCGTTGAACTCTTTTCGTGCCGCCAATTTTCGTAAAGCACCATCTTGCAGCTCTGTTAGTGCTAGTTTGCAGTTTGATATACTGAGACTCAAATTTGTGCTAAAATCTTTTGCGAGCCGCTGAATTTTGAGAACATTTAATTTAATTGCCTAATTGTTATAAATGTTAAAGTGAACTCACATCAATTTCCGATTCTATGCCGCCAATATCTGAGAAATAATATGGTTCTTCCCACAATTTAATGCCCAGGAGCTGTAGTCGTGCTCTAACCTGGATGATGACATTGTCGATGTGGGACATGACGTCGTAAATATTTAGAGTTTTAAAAAAGACTGTATCTCACCTAACCTGTTGTAAGTGGAATGACAATACAAATATTTCACAATTTCATCGGTAGAAAAATTGTTCTGTATTTTGTTTTTATATTTACCTTCTCTATTTTTATACCTGATCATCAGATATTGACAAAGATTTCGATTCGTAAACATATGACCATAGAACGCAGGGTTGCATGTAGTGTTACCAAAAAATCTTAAATAAAAAAAAAAGCCCCCAACGCTCTGCCCAAGTCAAGTGAACTACTCTAAATAATTTAAAAGAGGACGGAAGGAAACACATAGAATCAAAACTATTTAATATTGATTATTAACTTTTTAATAATAGCTTAAGAGAATTTTATTCTTCCAAAAAACACTTCTAAAACTGTTTTGCCAACTGAAAGAAGAGAAAATGCAATTTGAGGTGAAATTTTCCCCTACAACTTTGTTTATGAATTGTGAGTTGGGAAATGCTTTCATAAATCTTACACTGAACACACTTTGCTTTTAAAACAATTTTTTATTTCTACTGACATTTGTCGTTACGCATGAATGCTTATCAACGCGGAAAGGGGTCGTTGCACAAATATATTGTACACTGCGCCCAGTAAAAATTCCAATTGTGTTGTGGTGGACAGACAAAATTCCAAAAAGTGACAGTGAGTTTTCGACATTGTGAAAAGAAAAGAAGAAAATTTTGAAATAGACGCATAAAAATTGAAGTTTATGAAGAAGGCTTTTTGTGTTGAATTTTATTAACATGGCTAACGCGGAAATGGATATGAGAGCCAATCTGACTGATTTATCTAAACTGCCAGTCAAGGAGTTCGAGAAGCATTTCCGAGACTGGATGGAACGCGACGATGTGGCGCGGTCATTACAAGCAAAGTTGCGAACCGATCTTATATCAAACTTCAACAAAACTGCGTTAGGTGAGTGTCTTCCACATGGATAAAGGGACTGATATCATTAAAGAGGGTTTACAAATGGATAAATAGGTATGAGATTGTGTTGCACATGTATTCTTACCAATACGCAATGGGCTTTCATTCATAATTAGTTTTGTTTACATTTTTGTTTGAGCCTTCATTCATGGCGTTGCCATAGCAGCAGTCTTTATCGATAATTTTTTTGTCGGCAATGCAGTGTTGAGGCATTTGCATCAGTGATGGAAAAATGGTTGCGAAAACATTTACGAAATATGGAATAAAAAGTTTATTTTATTTCAGGGCGTCAAATTTTGGCACAAACTACAACAACCACCACCGGTGGTTCCGCGCAGCGTCTAACACTCTCGCCATTGGTGTTGGCGCTCAACACACTCGTTGCTGAATTTCTCTATGCACAAAACTGCCATTTCTCGTTGTCAGTATTCTGCACCGAGGTTCCATTTCGAAACACACTTCCGGACTTTGAGAGCTCGCCGCATTTCCGGTTTGGCGGTGATGAAATCAAAGAAATTTTAGAAGCCATATTTAGTAAAACACCTCAAGAGACTCCATTTAAAAATAGTATTATTAGAAAATATGAACACAATAAAAATATTTCTCTCTTGATGGTGATCCTCCGGTATTTATTGAAACAGAGGGAGGAGTATGCGAAGAGAATTGCCTCTATTAAGCCTAGCACAGCAACTGAAGGAACGCAAACTGTAGAACAGAACAATACAACACAAGAACCGGAACGTCGACCCCCACCAAACGACTCATTAAAAGCAAGTTGTACAAAAAATGAGATACCGAGCACCAACATAAGATACCTCAACAAATATTTGGTGATACTTTCCACCAAAGTAAAGGAAATGTCTGAGCAACTAAACGACTTGCGATATAACCGCGACAGCTTGCCCTCTACACGTCTTGCCAAAAGCGTGCGGACTCGTCGCTACGAAAAGTTAAACCACAGCCTAGAACGTGTAACGAGCCAACTGAAGCATATGACGCACACCAAACGCAAGAACAAGCAAGTGGGCGCTGTTGTCTCAGCAGTCGACGCGTTGGCGACACAGTTCACCAAGTGCGTCGAAAGTTTCAGATCGGTTTCGAAGGAGCTGATCGCCAGCAATGAAAAACAAAGCCAATTGCAACATATATTGCCAACGAAGCCAGTGCTTTCGCAAGCCGCAGTGCAAGTAGACCTTTCCAACGGACCGCCGAACTGTGCGGAGCATAAAAAGCTTACAGGGGAAAAATCCTACACTGATTGGGTGCATGAGATGCGCCATACAAGGAACGGACAGAAGTTTTTAGACAGAGTAAATATATAACCGTTATTTTCTTTAACTATATTTACATTATAATTGCAGATAGAAGTATCACTAAAGAAAGCGCTAAATAAGCAGCGCGAGCTGCTGCGGAAGGAATCCGACCAGAAACTACGACACCAAAAAGAAGTGCTTAAAATACAATACAAGGAAAAATTAATGGAGGTAAAAGTTTTCAATAAAGATTTCCATTGTCTCTAAAATAAATAGTTTTTTCCGCCAACAGCACGTCTCTCGTCTTCCACAATGTGACTATTCCAATGAAGCGCGAATGCTCAACGAGAGTATTGGACAGCAATTGAAAGAGTTCGAGAGCCGACATACGGAACTTCTGCAGAAAATTCAAGATGTACACAAGACTGAAGGCAATAATTTACCCACTGCCGAAGCAGAAAAAGAGGATGCAAATGCTAATGCACAGGCCGATATGACGAATGACACCCGAACTCGAGATCCCTTGTTGAAGGATGTGGTGAATACACAGAAGAAACTGCAGAAGATGGCCCAAAGTATTGCACAGCAAGAGCGAACTGTAGACCAAATCGTTTACGAGGCTAAGTGAGCAATACTTTAAAATTTTCTTTAAGTTTCAACTACAATCTAGTTCCTGTGGGTAGGATGCGCATTCAAGAGCTTGAGAATGAAAGCAATCAACTGGAACTGAATTTCCGAAATTATCTGGACCGACAGCGTTTGCAGGCCGAAACTATGCGCGAAGTGGTATCTAGCCTTTCCGAGAGCAATAAAAAGGATATCCCAAAAGTTGCCGACAGCTATCGCAAGACTTTAAAAGATATCCGAACATCTTCCACACTCCGAGCGGAAAAGGAACGGCATGAGGTGAAGACTAAAATCCGCCATAAAACGATAGAATCGAAAGATTCGCTCGTAGATTTGACTGATCAAGAAAATAAAAATCCGAATTTTGAGTATCGCAATGCAATTTTGGAGGCGAAAACAAAACTGTTTAAAGGTGATCGACAGTATGCTAAGATGGGTAGTGACGAGGAAGAATTCAAACCTCTAGGTTTTGAGCCATACTATTACAATCGGAATTTCGGTACCAGCGAATCCCAGAGTAATTTGATATCGAGCAATGTCCACTCATCTCAGTGGAACGAAAACGCTACAAGGTCATCTGAGCCACGAACGGACAACAGTAATTTCAACAACAACACCAATACAGTGAGTGCCAGAAGCAACGGAGCTCCTCTCCATAGAGCTTATGCAGTCCTTCCAAATACTGCACAGGCAAGCATACCCAAAATTAACCAACTGGCAAGGAAACCAACTACCAGCGTGGCTGCTGAAGCCTCAAGAACGTCTGCTGCAAAACCAATGCAAACAGCGCCAGCGACAACTATGCCAACAGTATCTGCCAAAACTACCTCGGTGTCTACTGTTGTCATAGCTGCTGTTGCAGCCAAGCGAGCAGACCGACACACCCACGAGCGGACATCGGATGGGTTACTGCAACATCTGAAAGCTGCTTCGCAAACATATAGCTACAATAATGACATTCACGACAATCAAAGTTCGAGTGATCACAGCAAAAATAGCGACAAAAGAAATAGATGTGTCGAGGAGGAGGCATCGGACACAATTAGTAGTACGCGTAGCGGCAAAAAGGGAGGCAGTCCAAGAGGTAAAGTTGAAGATCGTGATAAAAAGATCGGTGAAACCACTAATCCAGTGGAGGCCACAGTGAACTTCTTGGAGACTATGGAGCGAATGCATCGGTTGTTCACCGAAACCCCAACAAGCGTAAAGAATGAGAAGTTGTCACATTCACGTGCCGATCCATTAGAAAAAGAGAAAAGTAAGCCTAAACAAAGAAATCAACAAAAGCAACATGGAATGAGTCCAAAAACTAAAAAAGGTGGCAAAACTTCATCTGTGACCAACGAGCCCGCCAGCACTTTCCGTAAATACAAGCAGAATAAAACGGAACGTAAAGAGCGCCGAACAAAAACCATAAAAAGCACAGAAACTCCGAAATCGAATGGAGGCTTTGAGGAAGCTTTGAACACATTTGCCAGTTCTGATGTGGAAGCACGGAAGATGTCGGCGGAAAGATCTGTGCCAACAACAAGGCCACAGTACTATAATATTACAAGTTCAGCGACGGCAATCAACGTTCTGGCGCCAACAGTTTCCTCAACAACCTTCTCCATATGCGAAGATGATAACCTGAAAGAAGTGGTGAGCGAGTCATCGATCGAAATCGCTAGCATGGTCGAGGCAGTTGATGAGGAGATAGAGTTGGAAGAACTGGTTGCGGCGGTGGATGAAGAGGAAGAGGAAGAGGTCGAAGAGGAGGTAGATGAAGAGTACGAACCAATGGGTACTGTTAAGGTGAGCTCATTGCCAATGCCCGCTATCGAGGAGGTGTCACGTTTCAGTTCTTCCTCTGGCAGTGCGGTTCACATGTCCGATTGCGGCGGCGGCGGTGGCGGCGGAGCGGAACGCAGAAAGAAAAGCGATAGTGGCAGCGATTTCTGGGAGTAAAACTTCTCCAACGGGAGAGTGGAGTTGAGCTGCGATGTGAACACAAATAATAAAGCAAGCAGAAAAGTTTTCAAGCCGACAGTTGATAACCGAACTTGTTCGCTAATTACCAAATTTTAATTTTAATAAATTTTCATAAATTCATCGAAATTTATCAATTTAATGTTAAAGAAAATTCTTAATAAATTATTTGTAACAATTTACAGAACATGCAAATTAAATTGTAATTAAGAAAAAAATTTCTTGTATCTGAGTAGTCAATGTGTTTATTTGGGAAGTTCTTCGCGGTTGATTTTACGATCCGTCAGATTGCATAGCTCTTGTGATCCAGTTACGAGGTACTTTTTTCAAAAGCCTCTCTTTGATTGATTATGAAAAGACTTACACCACCATCCATATTCCATTATTGGTTTGTATTCGACCGAATAGACCACGTCCAGCACACAGTGAAGAAAATATAGTAACCGTAGCTGAGAGTGTGAACCAAGACCGTGAAAAGCCAATTTGGCGCCGTTCACAGCTACTCAGACTGCCGTGTGGAACGGCATGGCGCATTTTACGTGGAGAACTTAAATTTGAAGCGTAAAAAATACAGCTTGTGCAAGAACTGAATCCGTTCGACCTTCCTAAGTGACACCGCTTCGCTCTATGGTTCCAAAAAGATCCGACGCTTTTGAGCCAAAATTTCTTCAGCGTTGAGGCTTTGACGAAAAGCAATTTAAAGATATTCAAGAGCTGCCATTTCATCCAGGAAAAACAACGATTTGTGGAGTTTGTGGGATCATCGGTACATTTTTCCTCCACAATGATGGCGGTGAGAACGTAACCGTTAATGGCGATTTTTATCGCGCCATGATAACCGACATTTGGTTTCAACAAGACGGCGCCACAGCAGATAATTTCACGTTTTGGGCCTGTCGATGGGCCACCAAGATCGTATGATATCACCCCCTTATCCTTTTTCCTGTGGGAACCTAAAGTCTATGTGGACAATACCGCTTCGATTTAGGTCTTGGATCAAAACGTGTCATTCGCCAGTTGCCAGTCAAAATGTTCGAACGAATCATCGGAAAGTGGACTCAATGGATGGACCATCAGAGACGTAGCGGTCCAAATTTAAAAGATATAATTATCAAAATAGAAAAGCCAAAGAGTGTTCTTTCGAATGATAAAAACATTAAGATGTTACAGCTTGAACCTATTATGTACTATATATAATATGTGGCTAAGAATCCGGTTGAGAACGATTCGTTTTGAAATACCGAATTTCGGTCCACAAGGTGCGTTCCAAAGTAAACAGGACTTAAAATAAAAAACATTACATATTTTTTTCGGCAAGGTTAATTTATTTCATTCAAAGTAGTCTTCTGCTGCTTCAAAACAGCTTTTTGCATGGTCCACGAATGTTTTAGCTCGGTGCAAGCCTTTTGAATGGTCTCTACGTCTGCATAACGCTTTCCTTTCATGGGCAAATGCATTTTTCCGAAAAGGAAGAAGTCGCACGGTGCCATATCAGGTAAATGCGCGGTATGGTATGGTTAATGTTTGGTCAAATTTCTTTATGAATTCACGCACAGTTTCGATGGAATTTGCGGTGATCACGAATTTTGTTTGGCCCACATGCTGATCGTCATTTATGCCCTCACGACCACTTTGAAAACAGTGAAACCACTCGTGCACTCTGCTGTGGGATAGGCAATCATCGCCATAAACTTCTTTCATCAATTGAAATGTACTGTTTACTTTGGAACGCACCTTGTAGACAGGGTATATCAAAAGACGAGATATTTGGTGTAACATTCAAAGAACATTCCCAAGTCGGGAATGATCATCACTTTCGAAGGCGACTGTGTGTTAGTCTGTTCGAGTTCGCCGCTAACCGTAGCATTCGTAAAACGCTTTGAATACCCCACTTATCGCACATAACCTTGGACGATCCTTGGAGAGTGGCAGGTTATAAGCAAATTGACTTATATAGTGAGAAAGAAACACAGTTTTGTTGTAATCACATGTACTTGTATTCTAATTTTGTGCGCAACATATAAATTACAATTCATTCCTTTAAATCAGTGCAGTTTCTTAGTTACTAAATTTTGTTAACCATAAATTTTCTACAGTCCCCTAAGTCGAATGTCGAATGGCAAATGTTTTCGCCACCGTTTATTGGTACTTCGCGACTGCGCTTCCTATTCTAATCTGGCAGTGCAACAATGTTTTCCTAAGTTTGAGTTTTAATTACACTAAGCCGACCATTTGGCCAGTTTTGTTGGGGTGATAGGGAGAGGCGGACGTAACAACCATTTGGTAATCGACTATCATCAATTTCCGCTTTGTGCCGTACACGACAAAGCGCCGCTTGCGGCTACTACCATCCAACTGATGCTTTTGCTGGCAGCCAATCCAACAAAGTCCTTTCTGTTTGCTGCCGGCTAGCGGTATTCCAGTGAACTCTCTCTCAGACAGCAGTGCCATTAATCAAGTCATAGTGGTCAGTGTTGTGGTTGTTGTTGTTATTGATACCACCATTGGCATTTTGGCCACCCATCATGGATAGGCCGCTGTAAACACTGGCATGCGAACGCCGTCTTTCACGCTCAAGTTCATCGGGGTCAAATGTTTCGCCCAATAAAGCGCTGGATCGACGCTGCTCATCGAAAGCGTAGGCGCGCTGGAATTTCGGCGGTACGCTGACCACACTACCACTACCGCCTCCACTGCCAATGCCACTGTCGGCGCCGCCGCTGGTGTTACTGCTGAAGGAGCGTGTCAAAAGCGCGTGCGCCAAGTGGGGAGCTGTTGCATGGTGCGTACGTGTCGGTGGTGCGCCCAGTTGTTGGATTTGCTGATAGTTGGTTGCGTAGCCGGATGGTGAGGACGGTATGGCGGCAGGCCAATGCACAGCTGGTTGCTGAAGTCTTCCATCATTGTTGTTGCTGTTGTTCAGTGGCCGTTGCTGGCGTCGTTCGCCATAGTTGCTGCTGTTGCGTGCCGCAGCGAGGTCTTCGCTGGATTTGTGCAACGCAAAGGCTGAATTGTAGATGCCGGCAGCATGTGATTGTGACAGATAAAGATTTTGCTGTAGTAGTTGTTGCTGCTGTTGTTGATGTTGCTGCTGTAACATCATGTTTGTTAAGCGACTCTGGCTGCTGCTATAGTTGTTGTGCAATGCTGAAGCGCTTGCGTGTAGCGAGCCCGAGCCCAGGCTGTTCTGCGAGTTCGTGTGGCTTTTCAAAAATGATCGGGGCAAAGTGCGACTCTGAAATATTTGGACGTTGGGTTGGTAATCCTGGTGTAGACGGTTTTGCGAACCATAGTAGGCACTCTTGGCAGCCGCAAAATAGGGTTCTCCGCTACTAAAGCTGGGCGGTGGAGGCCAGATTTCCATGGCGGAGTCGCTGCGGTCCACAGCAAATGAGCTCTTCTGATCAGTCTTTTCTGGCTGATATAATGCGGTCAATGAAAGATTAGAGTTGATTTTACGCAGATGAGCCGGCTCGACGAACATAGAGGAGCGACGTAGGTTGCGATATGTTGGATTGGTCACATACTGAGGATTATCTGCAAGGAATGTTATTGATTAAGGCTTTGCTTAAAAACTAGAGTAGAAGCTTAAATTAAAACTGAAAGTTTTTAAGTGCGGCATGCTCGCATTCAATTTAAGGCAATTTGGCTGTGTGTGTATTACATTACTCACCTTGAATAACGTAAATGTGCTCATCCTCGTCTTGTAGCTGCGAAAATCCACCCTCGCCTTCATCATCCTCATCTGTTTCCCGCGGATTTTGACACTCGTCATCTACTTGGCAACTCTTTCTGGCAAAATCTCGACGTCCGCCGCCACCTCCATTATGTTGTCCATTACCAAGATGACTTGTGGCTTTGTAGTGACGACGCTGTTGTGCTTCGTCGTCAGATGTCGCCGCCGTATCTTCCTCGCTGGCAATGAAGTAAATGTTTTTCGGCTTTGGACGCATGCCAGCGCGTTTGCAGAACTCCTGAAAGAGTTCATCTTTAGTCTTACGTATGCCCCGCTTCAAACCGCACAGTCGCTGTGGCTCATCATCATCGTAGCAGCTGTCCGACTGGCTGTCGGCCAATTGACGTCGGCGTCGTTGACTCCTTTCATTTTCGCTTTCAGCGCCGCGTTCACTTTCGCTTAGTGTCACCACTGCTGGGTCAAGAGGTCGTGTGTTCGTCGCCATGTTGCGTCGGTTTCTACGTTCAATGTGCGGTGTGGCGTGCCGAGAGTTGTGACTGGGGTAGATGTCTGTGGTGGTCGAGACGCTGCGGGTAAGCGGATAATCTTGTGCGAAGTCACCGAATTGTGTGTACTGCAGCGGCATACGAGGCAAGGTCTGCGATACGCCACCCATTTTCACCGCTGACGGCGGCGGCGGTGGCAGACCACCAACCGAGTCAGTGTAGAGTTCATTAAGAGATTTGGCAAAGTTTTTGGAATGCAAATTGCACTTTGGCTGCTGTGACTTTTCGAAATAATACCTGTGATGTGTAAAGGGAAACAGTTGTTGTACATACAGAAATGCCGAAGTGACTCAATGTAACAGTCAGTCGGTCAGTTGGTCAGCAAGCTAAGCAAATACATGTATATGGGCAAGGGGGCAAAAATATTTTACCTGTGTTGCAAATCACTATTGACGAACGCCTCCGCTGCATTCGGATGCTTGCGACAGGGCACAAAACCGTGGGTGTGTTGCAACAACTGCTTGCCATTCAATGCCATTTCGGCCGTGGTCGGCGGCAGACACACATTGTGCACCTGGTGATGGCTATTAGCGCCTAGCCGTGGGCCTTGCTGAGGTTTGCGCACAGTGGGTGCGACCGCCGCCGACGCTGTAGAATGCTTGTAGCTTTTGTAGGTGTGGCTTTGTGGAATTTCGCCCTCTTTCAGTTTTTCCTGCAGATTGGTGATGTTGAAACAAGGCAGATGCTGTAAAGGCAGAGGTGTGAAATGTTCAAATGCATGTGTGAGCATTGTCCAATAAAGATGTGTGCTTTGAGGATATTGAACGGATGAGGAAGCGCTTGGTATTGTTCAAATGGAAATCATTTTCAAAGCAATATTGAGATTTGTTGCGGTTGAGCTTTCGATTGTTGTATTTGTATTGAGTTCTCAATGGACAGGGCTTGGGGTTAATG